GTATTTTTTGATGATCTTCATGTTTTTCCACCAGAAAGGGAAATAGACTTGGGTATCGACCTACTTTCAAATATGCAACCTAACTCTATTCTTCCTTACGGTATGACTATAACAAAACTAAAAGAGTTAATGATTAATTAAAAGACTTATTTGATAAGGGATTTATCCGATCGAGTATCTATCTATGGAGTATTCTAGTGTTGTTTGTTTGAAATAAAGATGATTCAGTTTGTACGTGTATTGACTATCTGCAACTGAACAAGGTCACTACAAAGAATAAGTATACTATTCCAAGGGTTTATGACTTTTTTATTAACTTTAAGGTACTTGGTTCTTTTCAAAGATTGATCTTTGATCGAGTTATCATAAATTGAGGGTAAGGAAATGTGACATTCCAAAGATGGGTCTTTAAACTCGGTATGATCACTATGAATTTTTAGTGATTTCATTAAATTAAATAAATGCTCCAACTGCTTTTATGGATTTGATTAGCATAGTGTGCATGCAATACATATACAATTTCATGATTTTGTTCGTCGATGATATATTGATTTATTCTTATAAGTGAGGATGAGCATGCAATCATTTGAGGATTGTCTTGCAAGTCCTCAAGGATTATCAATTACTTGCAAAATTTAGCAAATGTAAGTCTTGGTTGAGGTCTATTACTAATCTTGGTCACATTGTTTTCTGTAAGGGTATTAAGGTTGATCCTAAGAAGACATAAGTGGTTTAGAATTGACCTAGAACTCTTTCCCTTAAGATATATGGAATTTCTTGGACCTGGCCAATTATTATGTGCATGTTAAGAATTCAATTTGCTTATTCATTTCATGTAGTAAAATCAATTGAAGGTGATCCAATCACCCAACTCTTGTGGTGCAACTCCGAATTCCAAAGTTGAATATTGTTTTGCATATGATCAACCGCCTATGCCCATAAAAATGCGACATAGTTGAACACTCATCATGAGTTAGTCTTCAGATTAGTGTTTAAAAGGTGATATATGAGACAAGAAGGACCGTTAATGGGATAGGAACATAAGTAATTTAGTTTGCTAACTACAAAGACAATATTTATACTATTTTGAATAGGTCAAGAGCATTTTTGAATAAAAAATCCAAACATAGTATATATTTATACTATTTAACATAATTCAGAGATGTTTCTAATTTTTTTTCTATAAATTAAATTGTATTACGTATAATCATAGATAATTTTATACAAATCTCATAGTATTAAATTAATTACATTGTGTCATACTCATTTCCAAATAATAAAAGTAACTTAAATGTTGTGAAATTTAGATATATCTCAAAACGTCCTGATACACTGTGTCTCAGTTTCATATACATCTCTCAACCTCTCGATACATTGCATTTTAATTTATGATACATCACTCAACGTCTGAGACATCACGTGTGTCCTGATACATCGGGTAAAGTGATGTATTCAAAAATAGGAGAGGGTAAGGATTTTTAGTATTTTTTCAAATGAAGGAGAATTTTAAAGAATATTGTAAAATATGTTGCGTATATAGATAATTTTTCCATAATATAATACTAGTCATTACTTTAAGTTGTTTCTTATACTTGCATTGAATAGGTGCTATCCTTGGTCTCAATTTTCTTCTGAATGGTAAGCTTTTACTTTAAGGGGTCGTTTGGTAGAGTGTATAAGAATAATGCAAAATATTGTGTATTAGTAATGCTTGCATTAGTAGTGCTTGCATTATTAATATTTGCATTAGTTATGCAATCATTATTTTTTACACACTGTTTGGTTTGATGTATTAGAAAAACAAATCTTGCATAATTTCTATTTAAAAAGTGTATGTTTACAAAAATACCCTTTACACTTTCTTTATTTATACACTTCCTTTGCAACAAGGTTCTTTGTTAAAACATCAAAAAATATTTCTTTGCTAAAACATTATTTATTCCTATTCTTCTTCTTTTTCTAATATAAAATTAAAAAATTATTACTACATTAAAATAAGATTTAAAAAGAACAAGAAGAAGAAGATGTCAAACATCTTCACAATTTTGCCACCATACGTCCAAAAGATCAACTTATTCATACTAGACAACTCAAATAGAGGAAGTAATGTCCTCTTATTTATATATTTTTATTTGTTGATATATCAAACTCTTGTATACGATCCATTGTCTTTTTCTTAAAAAGGAAAAACGAAAAAGAGAAAGGCTGCATGGTCTTCTGGTAACTTTTTGTGACAATTCCATTTTGATTACGATTACCATTGCACTTAAACTTTACAAAAGAGATTTTTCGAACTATTTATAAAAAAAATAAAAACCTAATTACATAAGGACACTATTTGCTGGAAATCTGTCAAAACCCGGCTGGGTCGACGGACCGTCATTGACTCCGTCGTCCCATACTTGTTCAATTTCTTCTGCTGCTCTCTTCATTATCCTCGACGACAGATATGACGGATCGTCACAGGCACAACGGTCCGTCAAGAGTTTCCGTTCCAAAACACTTAAACTCTTGGAATTTGGGTACTGGGACTAGTTCTCTGAACTTCATGACGAACCAATAGGATGAACCGTTATGGATACGACGGTCCGTCACACACTCCGTAACCCCACACTTGGTCAGATTTTCCCATCTTCCTTCAGCAGCTGCACCACGATGCCACCAAAGGACCGTCGGAATTTGGACAAATGTGGTTCTACTGATTTATTTTTAATGAAGTAAATGTGGTTCTATTGATTCAGTGTTATGTTATTTGTGGAAAATCTTCACCAATTATTCATCAGCGTATAGCGGATGATGAATCTTCTAAGTAGTCACTGCACATGGCTTAAAGTCAGCAGCCATTGATTTACTAAGCCTGATACTTGACTTTTGAAAAAATGAAGGGTGAAATAGGTTATTTCCAAATTCTGACTTGCAAAGTAGTTGCAGAGCTTTTGATTAGAATTTTGTTCTTTGTATTTCATGGGGTTATAACATCTTATATCCAGTTGTGTGTGACCGATAACAAAGCTAGAGGGACATTAAGTATGAAACCATGTTCTCTGTCACAATGGGACTTATCATTAAAAATAAGGTGTCCAAATAACAAATACGATATTGATTCCATGGTCAGATGTAGTATCAAACCTTCCAAAATGAGATGAAATTTACAGTTACCATATTCCGCCTAAATCATCTGCCACACTGTTCAAACAAATAGAAGCGAACTTCTTCACCTCTTTCATCAACTCATAAAGAAATTAACAATGAAAAACAGAGACTAGAAACAGAAATACAAGATAGATTAGAAAATTGTGATAGCAGCTATATAATTGCATTTCAGAGTCTCAAAAGTAAATGGCTACACTAGAATTTGAAGAGTTGTAATAACAACTATATAATTACATTTGTGCTTAGCATTGACACAAGAGTTGAGATATTTTGATAAACTTTAGTTACCCAAAAAGATTTAACATGCTCATGCGCACATTAATAATTAGAGATGCCCAAAAAAGCGACTGTTGTCACACTTTGAAGTGACTTCAAGTAAAAGTTACTAAACTAGTGTAGCCACTTATATCACAAGTTCACAGTACTTCAAAGTTTATCATGGACAACCATCCACATCATTGTCTGACGATCATGTTCACCCATACGTAAAAATAATTCCATCTTTTTGTCGCCATTACAGAGAATCATTGCAGCTTTTATACGTTGCTCTGTGGTGCACAACTCAAATGCAAGGGATTCAAGAATAGAGTAAACTTGACCACGAACATCAGATAGATCACGATCCCCCATCTTTTAAATCAAAGAACCAATTCTTTTATCTTGACTTTCAGTAAAGTTTTTCATAATTTCCATCATACCCTTAAGAAATGTCTCACTATCATCCTCTACTATTTTTTTCCTTTTCTTGCTTTTCTCTTTCTCGTTAACATTAGAAGATGATCTTTTTGAATACTCACCTTGTTTATGACTTTTTTGGGATCCAACATGTTCATTTTCAGAACCAACAACATTTTCTCCTTCATTAAATTCGCTAGGTCCAGTGACATTTTCAGCTCTAGTAAATGAACTAGGTTCGGTGAAATCTTCAGTTGTAGCAAATACACCTTCTCCAGTGGCATTTTCAGCATCTTCAGCAACAACTTTAGAGCTATGGTAAACATTTTCTTCTTCTTCTTCATCATCATCAATATCAACATCCATAGGAAATCCAAACTCATGTCATTAGAATGTTGTGGAGCTTGACTCTTTTGTATTTCTTCAGTAGCATCTAGGGGGCCTTCAGCGAACTCTCCTGTTGCTCTATCCTTACCAAAGATTTCTTCCCAATCCTCAAACATTGGCCATTTCTTAGCATTAATTTTCCTTGCTTGTGGATCAATCTAGAATATTTAAAAAAATAGAACAATATGATATTAATTAATTGTAAAAGGATCTAAATAGAGGCTAAATGCTACTGTATATGAAAGTAACTAATAAGGAAAGTACCATATAAAAAAACAAAAATATATTAACTACCTTTATAAAGTCAATCAAATGTTTTGGATCGTCAACTATTATAGTTCCATCATTATATTGAAATCCCAATCCACTTCGAGTCTTCAATAAAGTTATACTTCCATAGCATCTTTTCCAGTATCTGATTTTATTTTTGATGTGTGGTTCACCTTTCAATCCACTTCTAGAATGATGTTTGTGTATATAACATTCTAACTCCATCAAGTGTCCTATTCGAAAGGTACCATTATCACCTCTCCAACCATTATCACACAACTCTTTAAGTCCTTCTAAAAGAGTTTGTTCTTCTTCTGGAATCCATGTCCTTCGTGTTGAAGGTGTTGTGTTCCTTGATTTTATTGATCTCTTATTTGATGATATTTGACTATTTATTACGCCTGTGAGAACTTATGCGGCAAATTATTTAAAAAAAACCAAGTAGAACAAAATATCATAAGATTTACTATAAACTAAAGCATATATACAACAAAACAGACGTCAAGAGTACATAAGGGCGTGCAATTAAGGTCACAAAAAACAGAACTTTCTGGAAGTTCAACAATTTATATTAGGCTAGTTCTAAAGAGCAAATAAAGTCCAAAAAGGTTCTATAGCTAACAAGTAGCAACATATTTCAAAATGTAGCAATATGTCAATTTTAAAATCTTGCATTCCACATTGATTGGGACAACTCATCCCTCCAAGTGGTCCACTCCTCTGACGATTCAACAACATTAATATTCTCGTGTTGATACTTCATTTGTTCTTCTACATCAATGTCTAAGGAATCCACTTCCATCTCTCTACGAATGATATTATGAATCAAACAACAAGCACTAATGATCCTGTTATGAACCTTAACAGAGTACCATGAAGGACTTTTAAGAATTCCCCAACGTCCTTTCGACAAACCAAATTCCCTTTCAATTACATTACGAGCTCTAGCATGCCTCATGTTGAAAATCTCTTCTTTACAACGAGGCGATGGATTATCACCGCGCCAATCCTTTAACCAATATCTATAACCTTGATAAGGTGAAAGAAATCCTTTTCCATTCGTATATCCTCCGTCACACAAATAATAGTTACCTATAATATAAACATATAATTTAGTTACTAGTGTCATTCTTTCTATGATGTAACATGAAAGCATATAAAGGCCTACCTTCATGAATTTTCAAACCATTCCTTCGTACTATAGCATCTCGTAATACATGACCATCGGCAGCTGAACCTTCCCATCCAGGTAACACATAAGTAAAATTGAGATTTCTATCACAAACTCCCAAAACATTAGTTGTTATCTCTCCTTTTCTTGTTCTATATCTTGGTTTGTGTTGGATTGGAACTCTAATAGGAATGTAAGTACCGTCTAGCGCACCTAAACACCCTTTAAGATAAATTATAGTGTTATCTGAAAATATATAATATTTTTCTAAAACTATTATAAAAACTGCATATTTTGTATATGAGTTAAAGATTCTAAGCGATAATTTCACCTACCTCAAACCATTTCCATTGATCTTCATTCTCATCCTCAAGTACCGGTTTAGGATTAACAAGTAGCAATGGAGTTAGTTTGAGAATAGCACTCAAGCATTCATTGAAAGCATGACTTATGCTCCATCCTGATCTAATATAATCAACCTTGATGGATCTATTTTTCTCATGATGAGCCAAGATATTTAAAAACATTGCTAATTTTTCACAACATGACATACTTTTACTATCAGTCAGACCTCCAATATCTTTAGTTAAGAGAACTAAAGTGTGAAAGGCATTTCTATCCATTCTTAACTTATCGATACATACACTACCATTATCATTTATGATATAGTGTAAGTGCGAAATGATTTTCGAAACTCAAACACTCATATGATATCTAACCTCACGTCTATTTTGACATCGTCTTCTTAGAGAATGACAATGACTAGCCATGAAAAGACAAAAAATGAGAACAAGAACTTGCTGAAACACTATCTCCACAAGAATAATATATTCAATACCTGATAATGGTTGAAGATCCATAATAACACCTATATTTGCCATAAAAATATGAATAAATACATACAAAGCTTTTAAACAAGTATCTATGTATATAAATTCCTAATTTTCAACAATATAAAGAGTGAAATAGATGAGCTCAAAGCATATTTAAAAAAAGAGCTAAACCTAAATTTCATCTTAAATTGTGAAAGAGATGTTGAAAAATACATATTTTAATGAAAGACAAGACTACTAACCTTATGAAGATGAGCAAACAATGTTTGATTGAGAAAAAGGAAGAAAAATCTACTCTTGAATTTTCTTTGACAAAGTACAGAGAAGATGAAAGAGAAAAAGAAACAAGTGCTATGGAAAATGTTCTTTTAAAGGATTTTGAGGGTACTTTTGTAATTATATAATCTAATGCAAGTGTTAAAGTGCTATGTATTACTAACACCTAGAATTTCTTGGTATTAGTAATACACAACTTAATACACAATATTGTGTATAACTAATGCTTGTATTGGTTATATATAACAAAAAATAATATAATAAACAAGGTATTACTAATATACATATGTAATGCACATATAATTTTTCCTAACACACTTTACCAAACGACACCTAAATGGGATAATTTTGCACACTAAAATCTACAAAAGAATACAAAGGAATGGTGAATCTAGGAGGTAAATCTACCATAGAGAAACTAAGAAAGATGTTTCGCATAGTTTGTAGGTAGGCAAAAATATATATAATGAGAATAAAATATTTTTCTCTGCTGAATTGGATTGATCAAACCAGTATCTTATTTTCATCTAACCTTTCATTTTTTTTATTTTTTTATCCATTTTGTCTATCACATTTTTTTATATGAATTAATTTAACGCTTAGTTGTTTTACTAAATGGAAGTCTTAATTTAGATCATTCATATATTAACCAACTACATTTGTTTAAACTATTTCATAAAGATAAATAATTAAGTTAATGTTAAGTGTAATTTGGTGAAATGAATGTCTCACATCTATAAATTAATGCAATCTTGAACTTCTTAGAAGATTTGGAAAAATCTTTTTTTTTGTTGTTGAGCTAATTTTTGAAATGTAAATTAGACTTAAAATCTAATTTAGGGAAAGTGAACTGACCTTTTAAGGTAGTCAGGATTCAAGATGATCTGTGTGGCTCCCTAAACAGCTAGTGAAGAGTTGTACGGACTGTTTAGGGGTCCATATAGGTCAACCGTCAACTTTTAAGTTAGGGATATCCCACTGTGTTTGATACCTAAGATATGTCAATTAACCCATATTCTTAGCTCTATATAAGTGATTTAAGTCCTAAAACTATCCATTATAAATCATTCACCAAATCCCTAATTTCTTTCCAAGTTCTTTCCAAAAATCCTCTCTAAAGTTAAGGAAAAATAAGTTTGGTTTCACTTCAAGGTCTACAATTACCATATCTTTTTGGAATTGACCACTAAGGTATGTAAGTATTCACCTATGGACTCCTTTCCTCTACAGGGTTCCTAATATGTTCAAATTTTACAAGTTAGATTCTCAATTCAAAGTTAGGATTTTGTTCAATCTTTATGGATTCTTTTCAATCATGATTTACTTACTTGTTTACTATCTTCTAATGCATGAATGGAAGTATTTACATGACTTTGAGTTGAACTCTATGAACACATGATGAAGCTTATGAACTATGAAATATGAATTTACGAAGATGTGCATGCTTTTACGAAATTGATGTAAATGATCTGAGGATGCTTTGAGAGTAAAGTGTCAATGTTGTTTTTATGAAAGTTTTTTCACGTGCTACTAAGAACATGATGGTCAAATATTTTATCACATATGGATTCATAAGGTTGAAATGTTCTGTCACTTAAGTTGAATCAAGTTTTAGGTATTATTCTAAAAGAAATTTAGCTTGGATTGATTACTTAATTGTACCCTAGTTTGAATTTTAGACTCAGGATCATGCAGTGGTGTATCTTTATGTCATGCTTAGAGCCACATATTTATCAATTACTATGACTAGTCATGCATCATTTTCGTTTCATCAGGATATCATTTTAGCCATCATGCTTCATAGTTAAACTATGTACACAAGATATAGACATGCCGGTTCAACAGTAAATATAATCAGTCTCTTCGAGAAAAAGAACACAGTTAAGAAAACCCAAAAAGAGGATATTTAATTGGGCTACTCAGACTTTATCCTAACACTCACTTTCCATTTACCCCACCCCCAACAAAAAGACATCCAATTGTCCCCAATGCATAAAAAATTGAAATACAAGAGTGTTAGGTGAAGCAAACCTGGGGTGCAAAGCACCGACAATCAGTAAGCTGGTGGGTCCGGTTCCTCGGAACCCACTATCTCTGTAATCTGGACACCCTCAGTAGTGTCCTCAGCACCAACAACACTATCAGCAGTGCCTCCCGCTATCTCCACATTTTTGGAGGTAGATGCCCCAGCAGCTGACTCTACGGCCCTCATCCGACGCGCCTCTCATCAACAAGCGAGGCTCTCCTTGCAGCCTCCATCTCACGGCGCTCCTTCTTCCGTGATCTATACTCATGCACTTGTCGAACCCTAAGACTCTTGGCATGCTCTCGAGAGGGAGGTGGTGGAATCTCAGAAGTGGCAAATAAGCCGCCATCACTGTGTCCTCAGCTTGCTTTACAGAAAGGGCCTCAAACTCAAGCACCCTAGCCTCTAAGATCATATCGATGTCTGCTCGAAGACACTCGACCGCAGCCTGCGAAGACTCTCGACCGCAGCCTGAAGGTTCGACACATCCACCTGAGGGGTTGTCCGAGCTAGCACCCGCAACTCAAAAGCGTCCAAGCGCTGATGAACCTCAACGATCTTCTGCTCTATGTGCTGGACCATTCTCCGCTCCAAGTTCTCTTTTACCTCAGCAATAGACCTCTGCATCCAAGGCTGGATGTGATGCAGAAGTGTAGCCATATGTGCCTCTAGTTTTCGAACCCTAGCAAGCGGGACTAGAGTGGGGAAAGGGTCTGAGCGAGAGGATCTCGGGCCAGTGCTACTACCCGGGATAGACTTGATCGGGGTAGTGTCAGTGGAAATAGCCTACGTAGCCGTGTGAACCTGTGTTACCGTATCAACCAGATTATCACCAAGTGGAAGCAACTCTGGACGGGGCCCTTTGCGTGGAGCCAACTTATTGGCCTCATCCCTGAGTGCAGCTGTGGCGGGTGCAAGGACCTCAGCAAATTGGGAGGCTTTCTCCGACCACAAAACTCCTAAGGAGCCAGATGCTCCTTCTTCATGAGTAGCTGACCTAAAAGGTGTATCGGTCGGTGTGTGCTCCTCATCGGACTGGGAGGCAATGACTACACCGGACACCACCTTTTTGGGAGTGGCTCTGGCAGCACGTGCAGCTCTGTATGGGGTGGAAGTGCCTAGGGGCACGTACTTGGGGTCACGCTCATCATCAGAGCCAATCGCCAGGAGGGCAGACGGGGCGACAGACTTTGATCGCCCACGTGCGTGACTCGATCTTGTTTTGGTGCCACAATAGATAGCACCTGTGAAGAATCAATATTAGTACTAGAGAGAGCAAACAAGACAAGCAAAACGACACAAAATAAATAAAAGAGTCAAGATGTAATGACATTTCTATAGTAACAATGAAACACGATGGACCAGGTGAAGGCTCGTCGTGAGTACGACGGACCTTCATGGGATCCGTCATGTATTACTTAAAACTATGTTTATGTGGAGACCCCTGAAGAAAATTCTCCGACATTTATGATGGATAAGCAGGATGGACCGTTGTGATGATGACGGTCCGTCGTAGATGTCCGTCGTGGGACACTTGGACAAAGTATGGAGACCCTTAGGAGGGTCTCTGACCGTCATGACGGTTATGCAGGACGGACCGTCGAGGGTGTGACGGTCTGTCGTAGATGTCCGTAAGATAAAACTTGGAAAAAGTTTGAGACCCTTAAGAATAGGGTCTCTGACACCAGAACAGTTGTGCAAGACGGACCGTCGTGGGAACGATGGTTCGTTGCATGTGACCGTTAGAGGACACTTAGAAAAAGTGATAGCCCCTTAGGTATAGGGTCTCTAACAACTAGAACGGTTGTGCAGGTTGGACCGTCGTGGGAATGACGGTCCGTTGCATGTGTCCATTGGGGGACACTTGGAGAAAATTGGATAGTGGGGTGCTGGGGATGCTGGGACGAACCCTATGATGGTCCGTAGTGGGTATGACGGTCCGTCATCAGGGTCTCGTTCTTATATTCAGTGATAGAACTGGGAATGCCACAATCATCCCCTATGACCCAAATGGAATTTTTAATGTTTTAACCTACATGTGTCTAACCCAAATATCTAGTAAACTAGAAATGCTAAAGCAACTGTTTCTAGAGTTATAACAATGCAATTTTGAGGATTCTCATCCTAGGTTAGACAGAATATATATTAAAGAATGAACCCATCAATAAGGAATAGGCTAATACTAATTGATAAACAAAAATGCAATGTAAATGTGTAGAAATCAGAGACACGTACCTGAGAATTTGAGAAAAACAAGCGAGGAAAGTACTAGGTGATCAAGTAGAGAATAACAGCAGCGGACTCTGACTAGTAAAGAGTGGATTTTAGGAATTTGGGAAAATGATCGGTTGAAAGAGAGGTAGGAAATTGGAAGTTGAAAAGGGGGGGGGGGGATGGGAGGAAGATGGAAGGAAATGGGTGGAATGAAGGGGTGGGGTTTTTAAATGTTAAGAATTTTTAAAATAACCCAGCCGGGTCAAGTCAGGTA